AATCGCAACAGTCACATCCCAGAGAGTGAAAGTTATAGTTTCTAGAACAGACCTGGTCAATGCCTGGATGGTCAGAAGCGGAGTGGTCGAGTCTTCAATGAACGCTTTGGACAGAAAAGCATTGAGGCTCTCAGCGGTTATCTGGGCATCCACTATGGGGTTTCCAAAAGCGTCTCGGCGGATGGGATGCAGCGTCTTTCTACGAGTTCGTATTTTTCTAGAGAAAAGTTTCGAGACATTAACGAATTGTTTTTAGTAAATTGGTCCTATTCGGCCAGCTGTTTTTCTTTATACAATCTCTCTGCTCGATCCAAAATATCGAAATTCGGAAGCAGAACGGGAACGTCATTACGAAGATGGAATCGACGAGAAAGTCTGCGTAACCTATGGTAAAAGAGGAAGGGGAGGAAAACCTCATACCCAACATTTATCATTATCGTACGGGGGAAAAACGAGAAATAAGCGGATCCAAAATTTCGTACAGTTTTGCAGTGCAAACATTCACATCCGAACTAGGAAAGAAATCTGTGTAGTCTTAGGAATTAAGGTTTGTTAATAATTTGGTCGATCGACTTGATCGGAAATCGCAGAAAAAGCTAAACTTTGGGGACAACGTTTTGTCAACCTCGAGTTCCAACGTTGAAACAACTATGTCATAGTCTGAGCCCCCGAGTGGGCCTAGGGATGACAGTGACAAAGGCATGCAACCGCTACAGAAAATTTGGTCAAGCATGCTTGGTCCTCGGGTGGGAAAATCGACAACCTGGGTCCGCATCCCAACATCCATACCCTCAAGAAAGTCTTCGAACCTTCTGGGGTCTGAAGGCGGAGATCAGCGGGCTTAAGGAAGATAAAAGTCAGCCGCAACCAATTAATACTTAAAACTTAATTTGGCCGCAGTATGAAATGCCAGTAAGAGTAGACGATCAAAATTGTCATTGGCTTTGGAAAGCGATAAACACAGCCAACGAGTAAGGCGAACTTATTTTTTAGTGAAACCTGGAGCCAGCAGCTGCCTTCTACTGCGGAAAAATGCAGGAGGTCCAACGGCAGAAATGTAAGTGTTTGCTTAACGTAGACGCAACTGTCCCTACCACGGCTATCTTGACGATCATTTCGGATGCAAGTATAGCCTAGAAGAGAGAGTTCAGAGTCAGCTACGGAAGCTGATGCGCATGTCTCAGTTACTAAAACAATATCTGGACGATAGAACAACATTAGAGTCTGAAGCAAAGGATCTGGCGTTTAGAACGAAAATGTTGAGGGGAAAGGCTGCTTGTTTCTGTAGGAGCTGGGCTACATCGCCCGGTGCTTGTCTATCCACGGAACATACGGTCCGGAAGTACCCATCCGGTTGTGCAAAGAATTTTGTGACATCAAAACATTCTGACGTGGATAAAAAGGGGTAGGACTTGGGTGAGGAAGCTGAGAACGATTGTTACCTAACTTATTTTCAGCTGGAATTCCACGAGCCAGACACTGCGACGTATTCCCGCCGGAACGAAAATGAGGATCATGTGAGTTAACTGGCATGAATTGACGAAACTAATCGCGCGCGGTTTGAATTTTGAGTTGCAGGAAGGAAGTTTTTCAAGGGAGTCTATTCACTGAAAACGACTGTCCTTCATGAAAAAGTGGATTATAAAACGCCTTTCTGACTACGATCCTCCAGCTAGCTCCATCGATACTCTTATCGGTCGATCAGAACAAACTTCAACAAAAACGATCTTTCTGTCGGAAATCCCGGCTTGTCTGTAGGCTTAACCATCCAATATATCGTCCCCTACTGCTCGCCGACGTTTGGAGCAACATCAACGAAAAGGCTAAGTCCATATTTATACACTGCTTGCTGTGCTGCTTAAATTCAGACAACTCGAGTTGTCTCACTTTACCAAAAATAAGTTTACCTGAAAAAAGCATTCCCTGAAAATTTTCGATGTACCAAGCGTAAGCATAGACTCTGTCTACAGTTGTGCCTTAGGAAAAAGGTTGTTATTCCTGCAGATTTTTCCGTTTTGCATAAGTCCACTACATAATGAAGATTTTCGCAGCCTCCCAAAATATGGCCTTACATGACGGGGTCGGTCCACCGACCATCGACATTTCAGTCGCGCACTCTAACCCCTCGGCCAACGCGGCACGATGGCGACTGACGTCGTTAAGATTACTTAATAGTATATGCGTGCCGCATAACGATCAATTTTGCAGTGGAAGCCAGATATTGGCCGGCAAAACCGCCTTGAGGAAGAGACTGAGAAGATAAAAACTCTTCTACAATATAGGCTATACACAGTTGACGATACGAATAAACCTGTTGGACGAATAACAAGAAGTAGAGCCGAAGGACGTCGCACAAAAACACGCCATCAACACCTTCTGCAGCTGTCACCGCAGACCCAGCACAAATACAAGACGACAACAACCAACGAAGCAACGAAAAAACCGGAGGAAAAAAAAGAAATCGTGCGAAAAATGTCGAAGGTCATGGACAGAAGATTCCGAGGAATGCCTCCAAAGAACCGGACCCAGGGACGTCGGCGACCGTGTCGCCCATCAAAGGAAATGGCATGGGTCCTAAAATCCTCAATCTATCGCAAAAAACGCCCCACTTTGATGAAAATGCAGGCAAATTGGAGACGAATGGGGATTTTAATCGACTGCGGCTTATATCATCGTCAGATCATGGAAACCACATATTGCCTTTGTCGGGCGAGAAACCACCGTGATCCCCAGAGAGTCACCGGTCAGGGAGCAATGTCTGATCATTCAGGGACTTCCCGAATCCACAGCCAGGGATTACAAACAGCGGGTCTCGGCAGACCTGCAACTCTTCCAATGCCTACTCAATGAACTTCTGCGTCCCAATGAGGATGTTTCGGTTCTCAAGGTCTTTAGGCTAAGAAAGCGCTCAATCGACATATCAGAGCATTCACGTCCCCGACCACTCAAGATTGTATTAGCCAAACAAGAACAAGTAGAACTTATTCTCTCACGACGATTCCGAATCAAGGACACCGACCGCGGCGTTTTTTCAGCCGGACTGCACACTGTCAGAGAGAATAAAGCGTCGACAATAAGTTCTGGAACTGAGAACAAGGTTGCAGAATGTCTAGACGGATCTCGCGATCTGCAACGACCAGATAGTGCAGCGCCCTCCCCTAATCCGTTGGACCGAACCGATCCAATTGAGGGCACATAGGCTCCTTTAATGGAATCTCAAGCGGTGCCATAATCAAACGCCCCAAAACTCTGAAACTAACATTTTTTTACACCAACGTGCAGAGTATACTGCCCAAGTTAGGCGAACAGAAGATCCACATCTGTGACCTTTCCCCTGACGTTGCGTCTTTGACAGAAACCTGGCTGTCTGAAAACGTGGATGACCGCGAATTAGTGCTACCAGGATTTCACTTGTTTCGAAGAGGCAGGAGAGAGCGTCAGGGAAAGGGAGTCGTCACGTACGTTAAACACGGTCTGCTTGTGTCAGAAAAAAGAGAACAGTTTGCATGCAGCGCCGAGACTATCTGGCTCACTATAACGGTACCAGGATCACATGGCCTTGAAGCTCTGACCATCTATCGACCACCGAGGAGTGACCCCGAGGTTGACGTTCGTCTGTTAGAGGAGCTAGGACAATTTGCCCTCCGGCCTGACGTTCTGATCATGCACCGCTAATCGACTGGAGTTCAATATACGCGCGCGGCCCAGAACTAGCTTTCTAAGGACGCCTTTTGGACATGGCACTCAGGTTATTTCACACACAGCACGTCCTGTTTCCCACGAGGGTGCGTGAGGGACAGCAGTCAAACTGTTTGGACCTGGTCCTCACGAAATCGATTGACAGCAACGTTGAGCTGTCCTCACGCGTTATTTGCACCGTAATTGGCCGCGACATCTTGCTTCCGCAATCTCATCGCGCGGGTACATCAATGGGTGCGCCAATGAATCAAGCAAAGCCTTGACCCTAAACTGCTGCGGATTTTGTTTTTTTCTAATACTATCATGGTGTAAAGGCATACGCAAGTGTTTGTTGTTTCGCGATCGACAATGAAGTTCTGGACCGAAGATGCGTAACGGTTTGTGAAGTTTGACGACGGCAGTTACCGTTATTAAGAACTTTGAAGTTATTGCTCCTACTACTGACGATTTGCCCGTCGTTTTCATCTATGTTCGTCGTGTGAGTCACGACATGGTGGATGCAGGGACAGTGGCTTGTGCGTGAACTAGGTTTTAGTCATAGCTGTATTGCGCAGCATCAACCGCACTCCCTTTTCCCTCGCCTTCCTGGGTCCGGCTTCAAAATCGAGTCAAGGAGACCGGAGGTGGGGTCAGGCATGTGTGGCTGGCGCGGCCTGCTTCTGCTCGTAGGCGGGCCACCGCAGCCCCCCATGTGTGCATTTGTTATTGGCGCGCAGCCCAGCAGCGCTTTCCGTACTCTGATCTGTGTCCCGCGTTGGTCCAGCGCAACCTCTCCACAGTCTTTTTTGAGGGGCATACCGATGCTACTGCTACTACTACTACTACTACTACTACTACTACTGATTCTACTACTACTACTACCTCTACTACGCAACTGATATTACGCAGCTCTGTTTGGTAAACACGCAGGGGTAGTTCCCGGCAGATTAATGAATTTGAGAAAACGAAATCATTGGATCTAGAGCTTTATTTCGAAAACTTTCTGGATGAATGCTGAAATCCAGCATCAGGGACATCCTCGAATAAAGGTACTGCTTACGCAAGCGTCGCGACATCTATAGGGCTTAACTGCTACGTCGCTGTGACCTAGCAAAATTGGCAGCTCCTGAATCCATCTCATCAAAATGCAGTTCAGTTGTCAGAGCTATTTGCGACTGGTGCTTATTTGCCTGACCTAATTTTTAAGATAGTATGCAGGCCTCGCAAGTAGTCACGCAAGAGGATGCAATTACCGAGCAATGTCTCCGTCATCTCTATTTGTCTCGGCCTATGGTGCTGAGTTTTTCAGCGAAGCCGAAGTGTTAGGCAAGCAAGACTTGTTTTCCTTCTTTCTTTCTTTCTTTCTTTCTTTCTTTCTTCTTCTTCTTCTTCTTCTTCTTCTGCTGCTGCTGCTGCTGCTGCTGCTGCTGCTGCTGCTGCTGCTGCTGCTGCTGCTGCTGCTGCTGCTGCTGCTGCTGCTGCTGCTGCTGCTGCTGCTGCTGCTGCTGCTGCTGCTGCTGCTGCTGCTGCTGCTGCTGCTGCTGCTGCTGTAAATACTAATAAGCTATTACCAATGCTGGTACTGAGGGGGTTTCCGAAATCGGCAGTCCCATTAACCATAACGCGATCAAACCCGGGCAGAGCGTAATTATTTTACGAGATAACACATAAGTAATATGGTGTGTGACGTGGCCCCTAGTAAAAGCCCTCCACTTCGATTTCCGCATCGAATTTTGCGACCAGCTATGGCACAGGTTTCCGCTGTTTTCATAATTTCTTCTGACAACATCAAATCGCCTGACTGTAACGACAACTTTTGGCATCTACTTAAAACGATTTCGTGCTCCATGTCTGACGAGTTCTTGATCTGATTCGATTCTTGTCTGCCCCACCACCATTCGCTTGTTTATCTAGGTGCCTACATAAGTGCCCATCAGGAGAAGAAGAAAGAGAAGAAGAAGCGATCGCTAGAACAAGGGCTCTATTAGACTGACGTTTCGGATTCTCACCTGAATCCATCATTAGAGGCAGTAGCAGAAAAGGGTGACTCGTGCACAGGAAGTTGCAGTATTTATAGCATGCAGTCGCTATGCTACCGCATATCTATAGCAATTAACCGCACTCCCCTTAATCGACGATCGTTGCCCGCTGGTGCGCTAATTGCTTGCTGGCCGGCAGGCAAGTTGTTAATTACCGAAATGTCATCAGCCGTGTTGGATGCTGGCGTGATGATTGCTCGGCCATCTGGCTCGCCGGCTTGCGTCCTCCCGAGTGGTCAATTACCTTGGCCAGCCTATGCCTCCGCACGGAATATGGAGCGGGATTGTCGGTGCACTTGATAGACTGAGGTCCCGTGAACCATGATTCAAGCAACTCGCGGCTCACACGATTATCCCCTCTCGCGAGAATTTCGGCCTCATCGAACTTGAATGTGTGGCGGGGTCTCGTCGAACGGGCCGCGACCTGAGAGTTAGCGTCATTTCTCCGTACCGCTGCCGCTTGCTCGGCAATTCGCGTTCGGAGCAGTCTTCCAGTTTCTCTGACGTAGTTGTTTTGTCCGCAACTGCACCAGATCCGGTAAACGACTCCAGATATTTCTTGCCGTGGCAGTAGGTCTTTTGGTCTCATTATCTGACGCCTCATGGTGGCCTCCGTTCTGTGTGCAAATCCAACCCCAAGAGGTGCATGAAGGCGGTTAACGGCCTCGGAGACGTTCTTGATGTACGGGATCGCTCGGCCCGATTTTGTCGCTCATCTCGTTTGCGCATAGACCGGTTGACGAAGTTGCGGGGGTAACCATTTTTTCTGAAAACCCGTCGAAGATTTTGGAATTCGGCACCATTGTCTTCTGGTTCACTGCAGTGCATCTCAGCATGTCGATATAGCATTCTTACGCAACTGCGTTTGTGGCTGATTGGGGGGGTTACTGTTCAAGATCAGTATTTGCGTCATGTTCGTCGCTTTTCTGAACACTTTGGTCTTTAGGCCACCCCAATCTTTGCGGCAGACGAGGACATCAGCGAATGCCAGCTGGTCATTTTCTTCCTCCTCCATCGTAACTTGTATATCCGGAAAGACGCTGTTGAGACGTCCTTTGAACGTAAGGACCTGATCCCGCTCGATGCCGACGAAGGTATCGTCCACATACCGAGCCCAGAATTTCGGTCTGTTGTGTTGGAAGACTAGTGACTCAAACTGCTGTAGGACCACCTCGGCGATGAATCCCAAGCTCGGCGAGCCCATTGGTGTTCCCTTCACTTGCTCGTAGATTGTTCCGTCAAACGTGAAGTACGTCCTGAGACGGAACTTCAGGAGCTGAAGGACTTGGGCATGTCCGAGACGATTCCCCGTTTCTTTGCATTTGCTTCGTAGGAGTAGCTCGACGGTTTCGATTGCCAGATCCTGGGGGATAGAAGTAAAGAGGGACGTGACATCAAAAGATACCATGACCTCATTTGGCAAGAGGCCTACTCCTTTAAGCTTCTCTAGGAATTGTGGTAACGAACAGGCGGTGGTGTCCGAATCAGCGGTCAGAAATTTAGGGCGCCGAAACAGCTATTTTGCCAGTCCGTACGTTGGAGTGCCCTTGAGCGATACAATCGGCCGGAGAGGAACGTCCTCTTTGTGTACCTTGGGAGACCATAGAATCCGGCCAAGGCCGTTTCTTGGGCTCTCGCCATGCGTCGGTCGGTCGGTGTTATTGCACCCAAGTTCTCCAGTGCCAACAGTGTCGCATTAATTTCGCGTGTCAGCGTCTTTACGGGGTTGGTTTCACACAGGACATAATACTGGCGTTCCTCCAGTAGGTTTGTGGCCTTCTGAAGGTAGTCTGTTCTGTCCAGTACGACGGTGGAACGTCCCTTGTCCGCGGCCACGATGACGATGTCCCTGTCGGCCCTGAGTTCTCTTAGTGCATCGCGTTCGACCTTTGGGAGTATTTCGCGCGGCTTGTGCGTCATAAGGAGGGACAACATTTGGTGTCTGATAAGGTTCTTCGTCTCCTCCGCCGCTTCCGTCTGATTACTGAATGATTCCACTGCTACAATCATGTTGACAGGCTTGGCGAGATGACCGAGCAATCATCATGCCAGCACCCAAAACGCCAGCACTGGGGAACAAATTCCACAAACTGACTGATCCAACGTCATCCAGAGGCGGCACACTGGTACACAACCCGTCCTCAAAGGAACTGACGAAGGAGCACGTACAGGTTTACCGGCATGAAGCCTCATTCAACACAGCTGACGCCAAACCTGTCAACACAGAACGGAGGCCACCATGAGGCGTCAGGTAATGAGACCAAAAGACCTACTGCCACGGCAAGAAACATCTGGAGTCGTTTACCGGATCTGATGCAGTTGCGGACAAAACAACTACGTCAGAGAAACTGGAAGACTGCTCCGAACGCGAATTGCCGAGCAAGCGGCAGCGGTACGGAGAAATGACGCTAACTCTCAGGTCGCGGCCCGTTCGACGAGACCCCGCCACACATTCAAGTTCGATGAGGCCGAAATTCTCGCGAGAGGGGATAATCGTGTGAGCCGCGAGTTGCTTGAATCATGGTTCACGGGACCTCAGTCTATCAAGTGCACCGACAATCCCGCTCCATATTCCGTGCGGAGGCATAGGCTGGCCAAGGTAATTGACCACTCGGGAGGACGCAAGCCGGCGAGCCAGATGGCCGAGCAATCATCACGCCAGCATCCAACACGGGTGATGACATTTCGGTAATTAACAACTTGCCTGCCGGCCAGCAAGCAATTAGCGCACCAGCGGGCAACGATCCTTGATTAAGGGGAGCGCGGTTAATTGCTATAGGCATGCGGTAGCGGAGCGACTGCATGCTATAAATACTGCAAATTCCTGTGCACGAGTCACCCTTTTCTGCTACTGCCTCTGATGATGGATTCAGGTGAGAATCCGAAACGTCAGGCGAATAGAGTCCTTGTTCTAGCGATCGCTTCTTCTTCTGATCAACTATTTTCCGGAACTAGCATCTTCGCTTGTATTGGCAATGGGTTACCATTTATACAGTTACACTTCGCTAGAAATATTTCCTTTCAAAACGTTTGATAGTGTTTTGGCTATGTTAATAATTCCTATTTTAAAAACTTTGGCTTGCTAACTAACTGCCGATAGAATTTAAGAGCAAATTTTAAGAAACCAGTTCAGATGATGAACATACGATCGCTGGAACTAGAGGTTTATCGGCCTGACATTTCCGACCCTTACCTCAAATCATCGCCTGAGACGGTCACAGAAAAGGGTGATGGGGACGCAAAGGACGCAGAAATTATAGGAGGCAGTTGCCACACAACAACATGCCTACTCTGATTGGCAGCTCCTGCATTCATCGCTGGGGGGGATCGTATTTGACGTGATGATGACTTATTTGTCCACACCGAAGTCATTAATCCCTGATATTTAATAACAGCTGGGGAATTTTGGCGTGAAAATGACTTAAAAATCTGGCTTACCGTCGCTGGAACTGTCGACTGTCCGCGCTTTCCCGCATGGCTAATTACTCTGTGCATGCAAAGTCTCTGCACAGGATATGGCGGTGGGAGGTCAATACGCACGGTGGGCCGATGAACCATGATTCAAGCAGCTGGCGGCTCCCAGTACTCATTGCATCAGACGAGGGCATCAGAAAAGCTAGTTAGTTTTTTCCTTTAGGCCTATTAAAACCTTGTTATCGTGCCTACGAAAAAGCTGCTCCCCACCCTCGTATTATACATGGCGGCGGACTTTCAAAGGGGCGAAGTCTTGTTAGGGTGTCGTCCGTTCTATGTCTCATACACAAATAATGCCCTAAAAACGCTAACACGTGGAATCCATGCAGTATTTTTGACCGAACGGGATCAGGTGATGGCATTCAAAGAACGTCTCGGTAGGGCGGACTTACGGTAGGTGTGTTAAATCACAAAACGTTTACCAAGATTCTGAAATGCGTTTTTGACTCAAAGAGATTACTTAAGTAAAGTTGTAATATTAGTTACCCTGTAGCATAATCCCAAGATATTTCAGTTACTTTGGTCTGCCGGCTTTTGAGCAAACTTCTTCCCGCCACCTGCAAGTGCTAAATTCTGCAAAAATGATTGCTTAAATAAGTAATTTTCCTCGCTAATTGTCAGTGTCCTTATAAAGTTTAATATATTTTATAGAAAATATACATAAACCTTTTCATTGGTTTATCCATTTAAGAAAATTTCGCCCCTTCAAGTTCCATATTTGTAGACGGTATCATTCGGTTTCGAAAGACCTTTCCAATTCCTGAATACTTTTGAACCCGACCTGCCGTTACACTAGCATTCAGGGTTTCCATATTACAGGCCGTATATTTCCCGTGTACCAAAACTCATACACTCCTTTACGCTGCTAAGATGAGACCACATGTGGTTTATAAACGTTTGCAGTGGATACGAGTGTTTCGTAGAAATTTTCAAGCAAAATTAATAAATTCATAGACACCATGTTTTATGGGCGAGCGCTATATTTATAAATAAGTGATTCCCTTTCTTCAAGTACCACATTTAAAGAAAACGTAATCATCTTCCAAAGAAGCAAACGAATGAGTGTTTTTATGCATGTTTTCTATAAAATATGGTTGAATTTATTGAGATATTGAAACTCAGGGGAAAACCGTGCTACTTAAGTCGTAACGTATTATTTGCAGGCGGCTGAATGGAATTTCGTTTAAAAGCTGGCAGGCCAAAGCAGCTGAAATATCCTACGATTATGCTGTATGATAATTACTATTATAGCCCTACTCAGTTGATCGTTTCGAGTCGAAAAGAAGATTTTCAACTTTCGGTAAACATCCCATGATTTAGCACATCCACTGTATACGACCACCTAAACAGGACATGAAAATGGGAGCTGCCTACACCTCGGGCGAATTTGAGCAAACTTCCACTGAAATCAGAGCTAGCTTTAAGGTTTGGGTTAGGATTTAATCATGAATTATTCTAAAGGATAGATTTAAAGTTGATAAGATGATACCAACAAAGACAAGGGAGACCGGAATGGCCATTTCTGGATTATTAGCCGTCATCAGCCAGTCATACCCAACCCAAAGTGTGAATCACTTGAGATTCGAACCCGGGATCTTTGGTCATGGAGTTTGACGCTCCACCATATATCACTAGTCGCTATGCGACTGCCTGCTGAGGTTTAAGTATGAGCCCCAAGGCACAACAGAACGAGTATGTTCTGTAACCTGATCGGTGAGCGCCCATCTGTCATAACAGATTTAAAGTTATCAGTCAGTCAGGATCAAGTTTGCGGTTAGGTAAGGGCAAGTATCAACTGCAGATTTAAGGTTTAGGGTAGGGTTAGGGTCAAGACTGGGGTAACGGTTTAGTTTCATATCGGGGATATTGTTGACCCTAGGACACGGAATTATTTTGCCCTTTCCGGAATCATGCGCAGGTTCATCTTTATTACTTGGACGGAGCGTAAATATTCCCTCGTTCTGTTTAGGGAGCCACATAAGTCAGTCCCAACAACGTCTCAGTGCAATCTTCCCGTAGGCAAAATTTAAGACGGCGGTGGGAAGAGAACAGCCGCTTAACCCTCCTTGATGTCCTCATCTGACGCATAGATTGTTGTGGCCCAGAAACGAGTGGACAAGGAAGCAACAAACAGGACGAAAGCTCTGAACTTTAACTGCAACTACCCACAAACGCAGTTGCGTACGGGAGCTATACCGACGTGTTGAGACACTCTGCAGCGAATCGGAATACACGTGTCCTGAATTATATTGTCTTCGAAGAGTGTTAAGAGGGAATGGCTACCAGCACAACTTTGCCAACTGGTGCAAGCACTAACGGGACGAGAGACTCACCACAACCAAACCCAAATTTTGGCGAGCACTACCCTACATAAAGAGCGTCTCAGAAGACACATACCGCCTGTTCATATCCCTAGGAGTCGGAGATGTACAAAGACCAAAAGTAACAATCAGGCGCCACGTCATGAGGCAAAAAACCACTCTCACGACAGGAAACGTCCGGAGTCGTTTATCGGATGTGGTGCAGTTCTGGACAAAGCGTCTACGGACGCGAATGGCAAAGCATGCAACAGGAGAAATGACGCCAGTTCTCACGTCGCGCTTCATCCGAAGGGACTCAGCCATAGCTTCAAGTTTGACAAGATCAAAATTCTCTCAAAACCGAAAGCTTCGTGAAGTGCGAGCTGCTTGGATCATAGTTCGTCGGTCCTCAGTCTATCAACAAGCGCATTGAACTCCCACCCCCACATCCTGTGCAGAGACTTTGCATGCACACAGTAACTAGCCAGGCGTGAAGGCGCGAACAGTCGATAATTCCAGCGACGGTGAGCCAAACTGTTAATTGATTTTCACGCCAATATTCCCCAGTTGTGATTAAATTTCAGTGATTAACGGCTTCGGTGTGGAGTAACAAGTCATCATCGCATCAAATACGATCCTCCCCAGCGATTATTGCAAGAGCTGCCCATCAGAGTAGGCATGTGGTTGCGCTGCAACTGCCTGCTTTAACTAATCCGCCCCTTGTGCCTCCATCACTCTTTTCTCTGACCGTCTCTACTGATGATGTGAGGTGAGGGTCGAACATGTCTGGCCGATAGACCTTTTGCTGCAAAGATCACGTTATCTTCTTCTGAATTTATTTATAATTCTTTGTCATTTTTGCGGCTTCTCCACTTAACAGACTTTCCGTGTCGTCACGGAATTCTTGCTATCTTATGAATTTCGTCGTGTGTTCATCATTGGCATTCGAAGGTATTATTGATAGTTACTACGCACACGTTCAGCCAAATACGATTAAACGTTCCAGAAATGCCTATTACCAAAAAGGCCGTCTGAAAAGTCTTTGCCATAATTACTTGATAGTAAATTGTTAAGCCGTTCTGTGTGGATAATCCGAGTGTTACTAGAAAGCTTGTCAATGTGGATTAAAAACCAATTTTTAAAATTCTAATTTACTTCAGCCTGTAGGGAATCTCTACTGATCGCGCTTTTCGTGTGATTTATTCGAATCTTGGAGCTACCGACGGCCTTTTATGG